CATCAGGTTTGAACCATTTATCTGAAATAAATACGTACATAATTTTCTACAAACGAAGTAATTTTTCAGTTAGGCTCGAGTTTTAAGCTTAGACTTGAACGAAGAGTTTTTAAGAGTCGATGAACGTTGTTCAGGCTCTTACATACGTCACAATGATTTTTTTCCGTTTTTTTTTTCAGGAAAAATCCTAAAAACTGTTCAAGCTCAAAACTATTTTCACGGTGTGACGTTTAAATTTTTTTGGGTTCAGTTCGTTTGCTTTGATAAAAGGAAGGCAAAATCCGCTATCGAAAGTGTAAAAGTCACTTTTACTACTCTTTACAGCTCTTTTCCACTTCCCTCACATTTGAATTTCAAGTTGTAAAAACTTTGAATTTTTGCATAATGAACAAACCTTTACAACGTAATATCCTGCATTTAGCTATTAAAACATGCAAAACTATTATGAAAATGGAAAAGTTGAAATTTGGGGGAAGTGGAAAAGAGCCTTCTTTTCTAATATAACTGAATCTTATTCGAGAGTAAGTCATTTTTTAAAAAATATATATATTCGAGTCTAATTTTGCTATAAGCAAAAATTCATGATATTTTTGTTCTTTAAAAACTCAGCTGAAAAACTAAATTAAGTAAAGCTAAAGTTTTTTTGCACCGGAAAATAAAAAATAATCATGTGTTATTTTTATGCGTTTCTCTAAGTTCAATTAAATGAATCTGTTATTCAAGATAGATGTCACTACGATGCAAAATTTGGTACCAGAAAAGGGAAACTGACAATTTCAGACCCGGATTACATTGTTAAGTAATTGAAACCAAATACTGATACTTCCACAGATGGTAGTTCTGATCATTTTCTCTCAGTAAATGTAAAAATTTTACTGAATTTCGGAGGAAATCTTGTCCATTATGTACATTGAAAACAGGCTTTTTACAGAGTAAAATCCTGAACATGCGCTTAATTTTGTCCACACGTGTAATTAACGAAGTTTGTCTATAATTTTTGTCGCCTAAAAAAAACTTTTTCATAAAGATACCTTTTTTGGGTTTCAACGAAGACAGTGAAAACACTTGTATGAGTCGTGTTAAAAAATTCTAGTTTTGTGAGGAAAATTTTGAAGGTAATCACATTCAATTTAATTTTGCGAGATTTGAACATGATTTTTTTGTCAAATTCAATCCAAAATCAATTGCCAAACTGATGGGAAAATCATGTCTTGAATAATAAAAGCTTAAGTGGCCCAAAACATGATTGACATTTAGTTTGGAAAACTAATTTTCAACTTAAGAGCTCTCAGCATGGTAAAAAACTTCTTTTGATCTAGTTTTCAAAAATTCGGTTAGTTTTAAAAGAATCTGCTCATTTGTAAAGGAAGAGATTGTTAAAAAAATCCAAAATGTTAATTTTTCTTTCTACATTTTCCTCTCCAATGAATTTTGAAAAAAAAAAATTAAAAAAATGTAGGAAAAAAATTGCTAGCAATAGCACTGACTTAAGGTTCTCTTTGTTTTGATTTTTGAATTTTCAATAGACAAGAGCTAAAAGTTGTGTTTCACAACAACTTTTCCAAAGTTGTTTCGTTTGAAAATTATAGAAAAAACTTTCAGAAATTTTATGATACACTTTTGGAACAGATGTTTTCTTTGATATGGTTGTTTTTGTTCTGATAAAAAAACATATTTGCCGGTGATAGTTTGTAAAATAAACTAAACCGAACTTTTAAAAGAAAAAGAAAATTAGATCTATATTTTTTTAAATTGAGTTGAATAAAAGCAGGCAGAAGAGGGCTGTGTTTTAGATTTTTTCAAGTTGCTCGATTAAAAAACTTTTATCAAAAAACCTCTAATTATTCTATGATGAAAAATTTAAACGGACATTTTATCTCGCGAGGGTTTTATTTTGCGGTGATAAAAATAAAAATTGTGGAGTGATTTGTACAGTGAATCAAATCATTAAAACACTTAAAAAATTCAAAACAGAGCCTAATCAACAAGTCCGTACCTATGTACATGGATGACATTTGGTCGCAGAACTCAAACTGACTGTAGCATTGCTTCTGACATCCGGCAGTGTCCAGACATCCGTCATGGACCCCATTATAAATACAGTCAGCGTCTGTTTTGCAGATGCTCACGCTACAGTTCTAAGCAAAAAGGAAACAAAATCTTTCTGACATTTGTTGGATATATCTATTTAAAAAACTTGTCACTTGACCTAGGAATTAGACAGCTGATTGAAACATCGAATTAACTAACAACCAATGAAAAAAATAAATAAACAAAATACAATTGATTTTTTCGTGAGTAAATTTCCAATTTTAACAATAATCTTTGCATCCCGGGCACTGCTATGAAGCCAAGTGGGCACGTTTTTTCAAATAACAGGTCATTCTCAAAATTATCAAAAACTTTTCATAAACGCCATAAAATTGAGTCACGATTGTTTTTACTCAGCTCATCAAAATAGAATCAAATTTCAGCTAGCATCATTAAGAATGGTCCTCATAAAGAACTATGTAAGCGCATTGATTAGTCAGCAGAAACTGTTCAATAGTTTTTTTAGGAGAGTAATATTATACAGACAGGTAAACAATAAACCGCATGTACAAATCAAACCCACCAAGGATCATGCAAAAAGCTATGCAGCTTATCGAGGCATGACCCTGAAAAAACCTATGAGAAGTTGCGAGATAGTATCCGACTTGATGATTCAAAAAGTTAAATCTAGAAGATCTCCATTATCTTTAAGAAACAATGAAAACATTTTGTTGAAATACCCATTTAGTTGATGTTCAGTTAATTGGTTTAGGTTATCTGGTATCAGCTCGTTTGATTTCAAAAAATTATAACATTTAAGAGAGACTGTTGTTCTAAGTTTAAGGACCTTATCAAAGCAACCATATCTTAACACGAGCTACTAAAAGAAATGGTTTTATAAGCCAGCTGATTGCAGTTGTATCAAGAAAAATATTTCGTTGAGGGGGGGCAGCGATCAATTTTTTTGCATATTAAAAAACTATGGAACTTTTTCCTTTTCCCTTCAACTCACACGAGCATCAGTTTTAGGCTCTAACGAGTGGTTTTACAATGTTAATTATGAAGAGCACATATGTTTATCATGGCTTATTTAGTTTGCATGTCATTTTTCATGACAATCGAACAATGTGAACAGTAATTTTAATTATAAAAATTGCAGGTGGGGGTGAAGGAAAAAGAGCCAAAAACTATAATCATAGCCAAGCTCCACAGTTTAAGGATCAATATATCTAATAATCTCGTGACTCCTCACGTTGAGATTATCCCGTGCAAATTTGAAACAATTCGCGCAGATTTTGAAGTTAAAGTCTCTCAAAACAGCGGCATAGCTAAAAAATGGTCAGCTAAATCTCAACGAAAAATTGCCCAAAAGCAGCAACATAAAAATGCGGAAAATAAATTCCGCAATTTGTTCCAACTGATTTGTTCCGACACTTCAAAGGAAGAATTAACTATGTCTTCGGATGCATTTAAGCTTTTTAAAACATTTTTTCCTCATAAAATCAGATACCAACAAATAAAAATCATCAGAATGGGACGAATGATATAAGATATTGAAGCCCTTTGGTCGTGATTTGAACTACTTTTTGAAAATGTCAGACAATTTTTTTCAGTGCCGAAAACAAACCGGTTTGAATTTTGGTATCGAGCGAGTAAAGCAAGCGAGTAGGTCTCATGAGAGGAAAATAAGCTTCTCTGAAACATAACTCTATTCGAACAAAAAAACATAACTTTCGAAGCTTTAAACGCCATAAAAACAATTGAGAAATTTTCTGCATAAACTTGATAAACTTTAAGGGGCTATTCTTGTTGTTTCGACTATTTGAACAATGTAGAGGAAACTTGTATTCGAGTGTGTTTTGGTTTCTTCTTTTTTTTTGTTTTCCACGCAAAATCAGGTACCACAAATAATCATTGGAATGGGCCGAGTTATATATCATATTACAGCCCTTCCAATCGTGATTCTGATTCGACCGACATTAAAAAGTTTCGAAAAATGTTTTTCAGTGATGAGCAAAACCGGCTTGAATTGTTTGGAGTTTTGGTCTAATTTCGACCTGATAAGGTTCGTCAAAATATGGTTTGCA